GGGCAGCGTGCCTCTCACAGCTTAGTCTGTAGTAGCTGGAGTTTCCCAAGCACTGATGCATAACATGGCACTACTGCAGCCAGGGGAGATGGATGTGCAGCTCCCCAGGAGGGACCAAGGCTTCAAAGGATGTCAGTCCCCACAGCAGCAGTCACCCATCTGTGGGGAAACATCAGGGTTAAAGGCAGGAATGTTTAACTGCAGCACGGCTCTTTCTCCAGCCCAGCATCTGGCTGAGCAGGGCTGCTCTGGGGGAGTCATGTCCACCAGTGCCCCAGCTCTGACAGAACCCAGCAATCAGTCTTATCCTGGCTCCCACCCCCTCCATCACTTGGCTCCTGCTGATCCTCCAGGCAGTTCAGTGAGCCCAGGGAATGCTTTCAAAGAGTGAAAACTAAACATTGATGTTGCTCTTCTGCTGACGATTTGCATTTCTAATATTTCTTAAGTTTGATGTGGTTGTGTTGTGCTTTGGAGCCTTCCCACAGATGAGCAGTTCTGACCCGTGCATAGCCCTGTATTTCAAAGAGGGGGTTTGATTGGCTTTTTAAATTTTCTTAATTTTAAAAAATTGTCACATCTGCAAAAGTAAAAAGTCCAAGAATTGTAAAGCAGCTCCATTCCTGAGTGAAACGAATCACTTGCTGAATGCAGATCTCGAGTGACCTAAGGCTGGGTGTTGTAGTAGGTTATGGGTGCAGTAGGAGAAGCACAGGACGGCATTTGAGGGACTAGAATAGTTTACTGGCCTAGTGTCAGCACAAAACTGTGGAAGATCTCTTGAGGCAGGTATGAAAAACTAAAAAAGGAGGCTTCATTTTCCAGTGAAAGTCAGTAGCAAGGAAAATCCAAGTGATTATGTGTTCACCCTGACAAATGAAGTGTTTGTAAGATTTCAGGAAGCACCTCCTGACTTAGAGAAACTAGACTGCAGCTCAGTAAGTGCGTAGTTCATCTTGTGGGGGGAAACTTCTTACAGAGTTCATGGGAAAACAAAAACATGGAAAAAATGTTGTTGTAAAACACTTCTTTGTATTATGAATAGAGATTAAGGTCATACATACTAAATTGGTACTACCTTTTAGAGAAAAGTACTTGCAGAAGCTTCATATTGCCTTTACACCAAGTAAAACCTCTTAACTTTTTAGAAGAAAAAATAATTAAAGAGGTAAATCAGACACTAAAGAATCTCCTATGTTTTGAGTACTGTGTGAGTGATGTCTTTCACGTGATTGTCTTCTGGTCATCACTGATAATGAGGGAGGTGGTTCATGTCCCCACTTCACAACACAGCTGGTGTACTTTTTTTCCTGAAGGAAGGGCTAGAACTTTACTATTTGGGTGCTTCAGGTGAGAAGTGTATTGAATAAAAATTGCAAAGATTTTAATGGACTTATCCCTTCTCATGGTGCTGCTTGATTAAGACAAAGACATTATGGCACTAAAAAAGGATGGGCTTTATAGTACTTGTTCAAGTTTTAGTGTTAAATCAAAAGCATTTTCCTGGCTTTCACACTTTCTAATAAGACAGAATTTTAAAATCACAGTATTTTCCTCTGCCAAAAGCACTTCAAAATGCAACTCAAATCCGTGGCAATATTATATAACATAAATAATGTCCTTAGTGTTTAAAGCTATTTTTCAATAAAGACAGAACAGTCTTTGTTGCACTAAAGAGCAAAAAAATGGCTTTAACCAGTCCTGCTTCTTTAAATTCAGACAAATAATATCCTTTAAGTGTGAGTTTTTTATTTCACAGAGAGAACTTGCATACTTTCTGTTGAGGCTAATACGGGAAGTGTTTCATTCCAACAATTTAATGCAAGCACTGTCGCAGACTTTCATTATTCTCGACTCATGGACCGCTTTTGCAGGAAACAGCTTTAAAATATAGGTCAGCATTAAAGGATTTTGAAATGAGGTGAAAATGCTCTTATTTCTCTTTTGAGTGAGTCCTTTATTTTAGTATCTATAAGAGAAGTTCTCTTTTCTCCAAATCCTTTCTCCGTAGGAGGAATCAGTAGGGACATTGTGACTTATGTGAAAGTTAAGAGGCTGAAAAGCTTTAAAGGAGGCATTGTAATCTGTTATAAAACATGTTCAGGACCTAGGCATAGATTTGGAGTGTTGGTAGCTCTCCAGCTCATAGGAGAGAAGCATGAAATGATTAGATTACTCACAAAGTGTTAATCCTGCAGCAATGAGGAAACCTAAAAAAAAAAAAAGAAATAAAAAAATCGTTGTGTTTACACCAGATTAACTAGTACAAAGAGGCAAGCATCTCCTTTCATGGTTGCTTTGAGATATATACTCTCTATTCTTTTGACTCTTCCGAAGTTCACATACAGAAAATATTATCATTAGAAATGAAAAACCTCTTTTAGTTGCAAAGCATTCTCACCTCATCAAGAAACCAGTGCTGTTAGCTTTCTGCTTTTATACAAGTAGTATTGATCAAACCTAGAAAAACATGGTGACACAGGGAAAAAGATGAGGACGCAAGCTTGCAATGAATCACATCTTTTGTTTTCCCAAGCTGCCAGGTCAGCATTCATGACTGGCTATCCTAACTCACAGAGCATTCAAAGATAGGTGACTCTCTCTTTTTTTTTTAAAATCTTGTCATTCTGTCTGAATATTAAGAACTGGGTCTACTTGGCTTCCAAGATGACAAGTTTAGCATTTTGAGCTGGTGCAGCTGAGGTTACTTGGTAAACATGCTGAGGGAGTTAGTGAGGATCTTCAAAGCCCTAAAACAATGCATTTGAGGACTCCCAGTGCTGTGAGTCCCCTAGTGGTGATGGTGCTGCAGTACTTTTTTGTGGACAGCATTTATGCCCAGTTAATGCAGGAGAACACTGCATTTACTGGGCAGAAGAGCATCCTTTCTGGTCAATAGCTCCTGCTAAGCCAGTTCCAACCCAGTCATGCTGTTTTATCCTTCATAATGATTGTGACTCTATGCTATTGACTGAAATCTTACCCTGACATGTTCTGTAGAAACTCAGTGGACGAAAGTGACGGAAATTCAGAAAGAAGAAGACAGTATTTTGATGTAGTTTACATGAGAGCAATTGTTTTCTACCCACAAAGGAGGCAGATTCTCAGAACGCCAAAGAATTGCAGGTTTGGGAGAGAAATTTTCCTCCATTCAGATGCATCACTGCACCACAGTGAAGCTTTGGTCAGTGGGTCAGGTCTTGGACAGGCATCATAGCAGATCTCTTAGTGGCAACATTATGGGGATTCAGAAACCCTGTATTTCACAGACTGACCGAGGCATCCTTCCCATTGTTTGTGCTCTGGATACTTTGTTTCATCAGAGTAGTTTCTGCACCACGTGTAAGGATGTTTTCCAAAAAAACCACCAACAAAGGATTTTTGCCCATGTCACATGTTAGTAATATTTGTACAGTGGTGAATGTTGGAACTAATCAGCCTCCTGGGAACCATAGTTAGACTTGGGATATTACTGTGCAAATAGATATTAAAGGGCTAATATTCTTATATTATCTGTAAACATCTCTCCTGCATCTAATTGCTGAGACAGAATGCAGAAAAAATAGGCTTCTGTTCCATTATGAGCTTTTTCTTCAGTTGTCTTCTGTAGAGCAGCTAATGAAACTTTAAGGGTTCACAGTTTGAATACGATAGGCTTCAGTGATTTTTATTTTTAATTTCCCACTGCTGGTGTTTGCTACTACACACTTTCTGATGATGACAGACAAGTGGACTATATCATGATGTTCTGCTTTTCATGAAGTGGATGTTCATTTTTATATTAAAAGTCTGAATTCAGGCTGGAAATGTGTAGTTGAACCCCCAGGCTCATCATGTTTGTTTGTTGGTTACTGAGAATCTCCTGAGGTTTGGTGGTGCTGATTAAGAACTACATTTCTAGTCTCTTAGTAAGTGACAAAACAGAAATTGTTCATTGTCTCTTGCCTTGCACTTTACAAAGAAAACTTCAGAGTCCCTGAAGGAAAATGTAAAGGTGACAGTGAGACTGTAATTTTATTTTGTTTTTCAACATAGCCCTGGGTTTAAAAAATGGGATTAAATCATCTATATATGTTGAAGTCTGCAAATGCTGAGAGTCTGGCCCTCCTGGTGGTGACACAATTTCTTTAGGGGTTCATATATTGACACTGGACACTGACTTTAGCCTTTTGTTCTCCTAAATCTGCTGTTAAGAATAAATCAGCTTTAATTTATAGATGGAACCCTAGGATTCCCTCCAGTGACATCCTCAGTGGGAAATGTAAAGGTCTGCAGTGGATTTCCCTGCAGTCACCCTGAAGCTGGTTTTGCCTGGGAGTGTGGCACAGGTTCTCTCCATGCACTGCTGAAGGTACAGGTGGAGCAAGTTGCCACATGCCACACTGGAAACAATACAGGGCTTGCCAGTATCTCATGGCTTTATAAAGAGTCTGAGCTCTGGGGACAAGTGTGTTAAGATGAATTACTTTTGTCAGTGATGCTTCCTGTGGAAAGTGAGAAAGCAAACTTTGGCTCATTCTGCTCTGAGGTCCTCTGTTAGGCTTTGTCTGCTCTATTGTTTTCCCCAGATAAAAGCAGTGATGTATTTTTATGTAAATGGAGGGGTTTTGTGGCACATTGATGGGCTTGTGTTCTTATGTTATCTATAAATCTCTGTAATTGAAGGCTATTTTTAAGCCCTGTGCTGTTTCAAGACTCGTTTGTATTTTATAAGAGGTTGTAGTGTGAGCATTATAATGTAAAAGGGGAGACAACCTCCTCTGATAGTACCAAAACCAAATAAACCCTTGAGTAATGTGAAAAAGATATTTACTTACAGCTTAACCATAAGTAAATGGGTTTTTTTCCTTGCTGTAGCATACCAGACACTTGCAAAATACAAACAATAAAGAAAGTATCCAGGAATTAATAGGTTTGTGATCTGAGGCCTAAAATATTTTTTTCCCACATTTATTTGTTGTAGAATCATTCCAAATATGTAGTTTATTTTTCTGTTTTAGGCTCCTAAAGACCCAGTCTCTGGATTGGTACTATAATAATGTCAAAAGCCGCTTTAAGTGTTTTGGAAGTGCCAAGGTCCTGAAGAACTTGTACAAGAAGCATAGACTGGAGAGTGGACTTTGTCCTGATACAATAGGTAAGAACAACTTCGTTGATTTCTTACAAGATTTATTCTTATCTGCTCTAACTCAGAAGCTGAGACAATGGAAATTCTGAGATTATTTCAAGAGAGTTTTTTAAATACAATTTTCTTGTTGTGAAAGAAATACCTCAGTGGAGAGAGAAAAGGATGAAATGTCTAGAGAGCTTTAAGAATTCAAACAATGTTTAATCTTAATTATGTCACTGATACAGAAGAACTGTCTATAAAGTAAATTGCAGTTTATATTCTAGCTTGTGTCCCCACATTTTTCACAGTTCTGAGTAGTCAAAGAATGATAAAATAATTTTGCATTCAACATTTGACCATAGGCATATTTCTGCAGTGTTTGAAGCAAAATTTGATTAACATGATATACATTCAGTATGCAAGTTGACCAAAACTGACATTTCCTTACTTAGAGTTTTGCATGCTTAAGGATCTGAAACTGGCCACGTTTTATTTTTGTATTGATGTTTGTAAATAGGTGAAAGATACTCATAAAGTATTGGCATCAACTTTTTAAGTGATGACACGATTCACTCCTAACTATGCTCTTCTAATGCCCCCACCCCATAAGAAGAGTGATTGGAGTCAGAAAATGGGTTTGAAGAAGTGAAGCTTGGTGTCATACTGGTAAATTCAGCAAGTTACTTAGAACACAACTAGCTGAATATTTGGCATTTCACTGGATTTATTGAACCAGATAATTTATTCTTGTAATTATTTGAAAAATTTGTAAAGAGACTGTTACTTTTCCAAAGTCCCTCCTTTGTCTTTTTGTGGTAAGTATAGGACGGTAAATAGACTCTCTAGTCCTGAGTGGAAATTTTAGGTGTTTATTATGAAAATTGACATAAAAGCTTCCAGGAACAAGCAACCTAGTTATTAAATTGTGATTTAATACTGTTTTTCCCTTTTGGGTAAAATTTTGCCTTTCTTGAGAAGATTCCTTAACAGCTGAGAACAAATTTGTGTGAGGACAAGCAAATCTTGTTTCAGTTAGGGCACAAGTGGGACAATGAAAGTAAAAACCGTGGCCAGGGATGCTCCCCAACTTTTATAAGATGTATTGCCTTTTTTTAGCCATAGTCTCAGTGAATGGGTGCTTGAATGGAAGTGTGAACGATGCAATGATGAGTTGCAGTGGCATGTGCAGTCTCGGTGAGACCTTTCTAAGGAAGGCCTGTGAGTCTAAATGTCATTGCTAACTTTCTTCTGCTATCCCTGTGACTGTTAGGTAAACCTTTTGTTCCCTTTGAAGATAAATACTAGTATAGGTGTCTGGGTTTTGCTTTATTTATACAGCATTGCCCTTTAAAATGTAGAATCTATTTCTACACCAAATGTCATAGTAAAGTCAAATTCCCTATACTTAACTTCTGCCATGAATGTAAGTTTTATGCCTGGTAGCTTCTTTTTTTCTTTTTTACTGTAGTAATAGTTTTTTCTATTCAAAATGAATGAGAAGCCTTTGAGATGAAAGCAGTCATGTTTTGTACAAAAGCTGCTGCAGTCATGATTTATCCAACAGCAACAGCTAGGAGGAATTTTCCAGTTATCCCTCATTGTGTGCAGTGCTACCATATCTTGAGTGAATATTCTAATCTAAAAATGCCTTGATTGTTAATAGGTGCTTCTTATAGGAACACATGATTCTGTCCTTTTTAGCAGAAGGAAGTTTGTATGAAGGCAGCCTTGAGAATGAAGGAAGCATTTGTGGCAGTGACTCTACCTTCTACCAACAGACAGAAGGTATGCTGCTAAAATCTCATTTGATTGAAAAGTAGTCCTTACACTTTGAATTACTGGACAAGTAGCTTAGAGTGCTGGGAAGTCTTGCCCACAGGTCCAACAATGTTTTGGCTGAATCATTCAGTAAGACTCTTGTGTACTATGCTGGGACATCTTGCTTCAGCATTACACTGACTACATGCCTATGCTAGTGTGATTTTCTTAATGATCAGGTTTTGTTACTTCCCTCCCATTTCCTTTCCTGTGCTCATATTTTTTTTTCATTCTCTTTCCTAAATTTTGTTGTTCCTGCCTAAAGGAACTTCACAAATTTTCTTTCAATTATTTCCTCCAAACTATTTTGCTGCAGTCTAAAATAAGCAACATAAAATATATCATGTTTTATTGTATCTAAGATTTACATTTAGGGAGAAACTTAGAGATTGCAACAAATTTCTCTGTCTTTTTTATTTCACTGTGCATATTTATGGATTGAGGAAATAACTTTTTCATGAACAATTTAAGATTTGAATAAGTGTCCAGAATATGAGTCTGAGTTTTGGAGCTCATTATGCAAAATGTACATATATAAAGAACATGGTATTTTATCTTATTCTTCATCTAGGACACAGCATGATGGATACCCTTGCTGTGGCCTTACGTGTTGCAGAGGAAGCAGTGGAAGAAGCTATTTCTAAGGCAGAGACCTACAGTGACAGCCTGGTAACACTTTCAAAAAAAAAGTATTAATTTAAATAGGACGATCATGTTTCTTTTAATTTGGGTAGTGGTATAAAGGAAAACCACTTTTGAAGTAGTGACTGTCTCATGATATACCTAAAGAGTTCGGCATGGGTTTTATGAACTGGTATCCAAGACGCACATTGCATTCCAGAAGGTGACATGCACTTTTTGACGTGCTTGTCATTTCTTCCCACAGTGCCAATAGGGCATATTACTCATTTCCCAGTCTATACAGTTTCTGTGGGAAGGCTGTTTTTATGGGATTTTAGTAAATACAGATATCCATTTTCATGCAGGACAAGCAGAATGAAGCTTGTTACTTGCAGGAGCACAAGGAGGACCTCATAGAAGAGCTGGCCACAACCATTGTGCAGAAGGTATGGCATGCTTTTTCCCCTTATGTTTAATGGCCAAAACACAATGTTTTAGACCTGAAACACTGCTAACAACAAAAAGAATGACACCAAAGTAGAAAGTAAAGTAAATGAACTATGACAGTGTCCTATCAGCTATGTCTGACAGACATCAGTTTATAAGTAAGATCAATCCAGTACCTAACCTGATGTCCTACATATTCAAAGCTGAGAGGTACCAATCCCTGAGTGATGCCCTTTCTTGCAGCGAAGTTCCTTGCTTGATGGAATTTTACATCTGTATTTCCCTTTACCCACGGGCACAAAGTTTTCTAATGTCAAGAGGTATGGCTCTTGACCATATACATCACTTCCTAAAAGATATAGTTTGCCAGTGACCTGACCACACCTTCTACTGAACCTTGCAACATGTTCAAAGAAAACAACATCGATCATTAACACAGAATTCTCTTAATGATGCTGTGCGAGAGAAGCTCAAAAATCACATTACCCTTGGCATGTCTGAATTTTGAGGCTTTTAAAGTAAAGCTCATTCTTCTCCCTGCAAAGCTCATGGTTGGCAGAATGAAAGCAGAAGGCTAGTGGGAAAAAAATACCCCTTGAGTTTGTCTGGACAGTTCGGAGTAAGGCAGGATGAGCGTGAAAGAGCACTGTTAAGGTCCTGTGATCAGGGAAGTAACCACTCTGCTAAGTTGGTCTCCTTCCATGTGAAGTAAGCTAGGTGCCACATCTCTGTATAGACTGTGGCATTTAACAGTGTGTGGATCACACACCAGAAGAGGAACATGTTGTTTATAATGCTGTCAAGAAAACCCAGAAGAGCAGCAGCTCACTGGAAAATAATCTGTCTTCTTTTTAAGGGTGATGTTAGACTATCAAGTAAGTCTGTTTATCGAGTGTTTCATAGTCCAGAGCCCCTCTCAGCCAAGCTTGAATTGCTAGTTTTTGTCAAGAACTGCCTAACAAGATTTTTTATGCCATAGAATAATTTTCTATAGATGTATTTCAGTTGTGGAAACGAAGTGTAGCAGGATATAATCTGTCAGTGTAGGGAGACATGAGCTCTCTGTGTCTTAAAATGGTGTAGATTTTCAAAAATAAAAATAGTGTCTAGAGACCTTAGACCTCTTTGTTCTCACTAGAATGTGTCTGCGTGTCATGGGAGCCTTTGAAATTCCCCTCATATCTAGTATTTTATGTTTCTTTGCAAAAAGTCTTGTCTGAGAAAATACTTGACACTTAGATGCTGCTAAAGTGTTACTGTAGCAACAGGTTTCTATGTTTATTTAATTCACCTCTGGTATTCCTGCAGGCACTGTTATATATTGCATCGCTGCTTATGTGCTTGCAAGCGGTAGGACTTGAGATGAGAAGTAATTGCATGAGCTGGAGCTAGAGCAGAGAAAAAGTCAAATGCTTTTCCTGGGGAGCTTTCCTTAAGACGGGGTTCATTTAGATCTTCCCTTTATGGCTCAGACAGTATTTCCCCAGCAGCATTTTTCTGTCCCCTCCCACCCCGTTTCTGCCCTACCCTGCAGATTATAAAGAAGCAGAAGAACAAACCCGAGCAGGCCGAGGCTGACTTGGAATGGCCGCCGTCGCGGAGCAGCGGCCTGGCGTCCGGCGCCGTCTCGGACCAGAGCATGCTGACATTCCCAGGGAGCCGCAGGGGCTCCTACACCTTGTGGGTGAGTGCCACTGCACAGCTATCCCTGCCTTCTGGGGCACAAAGCCAGAAGATTGCAGTCATGGATAAGTATACTTGCTGCCTGGAATGGTACGTAGAGACTTGCAGAGAACAAGCATTAATTCTGTGTCTGGACAAGCTGTCACTCAGTTGCATGCTCTCCTAACACCCCATGGGCCGTGGAGGTACATGACAGACATTGTGTTGTTTTGGTGACTGTGCTGGGAAGGACTAAGTTTGTGATATGAGCAGTCTCACTGCTTGATTTGAACGCTAACAGGACTCAATGCTTCAGTGTTTATTCCTCAAAACAGTTTTTCTGCTCACTTTTATGTAAGTCTTCACTGACTGTTATGTTTCCTTTTGTATAAAGTTAGGTTTCTGTAATGTTTCTTTTTCTCCTTAGCCATCTTACAGAAAACAGCCCCCACCAGCAACAAAAAAGGAAACTCAGCTGCAGAACACCATTTATGTCTTACACTAAAGAGTGTTTCCTCCTTCCACTTATTTCTCAGCACAGTGTCTTTATCTCCTGCTATAAAGCTGAAGAAAATTTGACAAGCTGTAACAGTTTTAAAGGAGCAGCAAGTAAAAAGCAGTGAAAATAAGCTGTAGGCTTGGACAAGCACTTTGACAATCAGAGAGGGAAGACAGTGACAGATGAGTTAGTTCCAGTGCATTTTGACACTGTGGTTTAAGCTGCTGCTCCCAAGTGTCCTGCTGCTGTTCCAGTAACCACCTCTCCCCCCCTAGGCAGAACCACCAGAACTGAACGTGGGCTATGTCCTAGTTCCCCCCTAAGTTTGCTCACTTACACTCCCAGTGAGAACAGATCTATGCCAGAATATTGACTCTGGGCCAGAGTTGCTGAGATACAGACTTGCATCCTAGTCTTCTAACTGTTTGCAAAATGAAGGGATACTGCCTGTAATGTCCCACTGTTAATAAGTGATCATAAGTTAGGGTGAGCACGATTCAAAGGCTTTGCTCTGTCTCTCCTAGACAAGTTGTTTGTGGAATATAAAGGCCAGGAGAGAAAGTTAATTTTGTGTCTGACTCAAATGAATTTTCTTTCTTAAGGACAAGACTCAGAAATACACTGTTCAAACCCTCAGTCATTATGACAGAAGCTGTTCTGCATTTGGAAAGTTAACTTTGAAGTCAACACATTTTGAAATTCCCTTCTGAAGTAACAATTTATTCCTGATTTTTTTTGCCAGAGGGAGGCTCATTACTTTGAGTAATAGTAGACTTTGTGAAAAATACTAGAAAAGCAGAAATGTCACGCTAAGGTGCAAACAACTTCAAAACCTCTCTAGCCATCAGTCAGTACTAGAGATCCAGACATGTACAGTATTTTATAAGGACACTCCACCTCTTTGTACAGGGTCTTTTGCCACATTTTTCACCATTTGTTCCAACTGTCTTCCCAGAGTGTTTTAAGGAACACGAATGAATTTGGCCATCTGCTGTAACTTGTTTCATCTCTCCCATAAATTTAGTTTGTGCTTTTGCTTTGCTAGGGTTGTGTTATCATCTTCTTTTCTCCTTTGAAGTGTGTATATGTTTATTTTTGCTTTGCTCTGAATAGAGGAGATTTTTATTAGTATGACCAGACACCCTTATAAAGGAAGTATCATCCTGTCATTCCCATAGCTAAGATAGTTGCACTTGTGTTAGGCTGTTAGATAGCACAATTAAAGTCACTGGAAAGTCTACTGAAAGGCAGTTTGTGCAGAGTGATTGTAGAGCACTTAGAGCCTGCTTGATTCTCACCAACAGTGCTGAAACAACTCAAATTCCTTTTCTGAGCTTGCTTTCCATTCCACTTTGTTTTCATTCAGCGACAAATGGGAAGCATGCATCTGTCAGTAGATTCGCAAGACTAAACCGCACCACTTTCTCTTCTGTATATTGTGTGACAAAGTTATCTTTTCTGCCAAAAGAATTGCAATTTTTTTTTTCTTTCCATAACAAAACCTAGCTTCTACAGAAGCTGGCAGAGAAGCCCTATGCCCATTCTAGGCAAAGCTTCTTACTGTCTCCCAGGAACTCTTGAGTCCAAGTCTGTAACAGCAAGTCTTGGATTCCACTACAATAAGTGAAGTTTTCTTAGTTCTTAACTGATGACATTAAGTGACAAAAAAACCCAAACTCTTGATTTCTTATATACATCCTAATATTGATCTGTGTGTGATGACTTAGATTAGGCAGAGATCTGCCTGTAATGATAAAAACTTTTTAATATCAATACACACCACAGCTAACAAGCGATCTCCTGCAACAGATTAATTAGCTCAGGTGTTCCTAGTGTAACACCTGATAGAGCAAGGTTTTTGTGGACAGACACAGTAGCCACAACAATCCAAAGGGAAGGAAGAAGAAAAACAAGTTTTCATTTTTTTTTCTATCAAAGCTATCCAAGGAGACTATTATTGTGACAGTTAGGTACACGAATGTGTTTCCCAGTAAAGGTTATTTAACTAGAACTTCCCCTGTTCGAGTACTTCTTTGGTATACAGGCTAACAAATTAGCAAAGGCAGGATAGATTAAATCAAAGGAAAGAAGAAACATGATTAACAGAAAGACATGCCAGGGAAAGGGAGGTAAGGATAGCAAATCTTAAGGCAGTCAGAATTTCATAATTTAATACTGAAAATTTCTCTTAGAGGAATTTGTCTTCTGTGCAGAAGATAATATATGTGGTTTTGCTAGTGCAATGAAAATAATAAGATAAAATACATGACAATTGTATGCTGTAACACTGGCCTTTTGAAAACCATGTTTATTGTTGCATTGTTTTTTATTACCAAAGTCACTTCTTACAGAGTCAGGGGGTGCTGTAATAATCACAGATATCACCTTGTGGTTTCACCTGCCAGGAAATTTTTCTTTTTATCACAGCTATTTGTGTACAGCTCATCCATATCAGCCAGAAACTTCAGTGGTCTCAGGAAGCCCTGCATTATCTCCCTGCTCATCCAAAACCACTTGCTTTGAAAATGTGATTAAATAAGTAAAAATTCCCCACTTGCCCCTTCCAAACTATAGTATTGATTGTTTAACTGCAGTATTGTAGTGTGCTAGTAGCTATAGACATTCTCTTCTCCTTTTTTTCCATCTTAGATTTCTTTGAGAAACTTCGTCCAGGCTAAAAATAGTGAAACAAGGCTGAATATTTTATTTCCTCGTCTCATAAAAAGAGATGGATGGCACCATCTGTTTCTCATTACCAATAAGCAAAGGCTGTGCAGTGTTGGGATAGGAGGAGTGCAGAGCAATGGGTGGATGCTCCTCTGTTCTCTCAGTCCAGTTCGCCTGCCATACATCACTGCCAGCCAGAGAGCAAACGACCAGTTGGCAAATTGTATCCCATTTAAACATTGATGGAGTGAAGGCACCCTGGTGTGTTTTAAGTGCTGTATTAGTGGTCTTTATTTTACAGCATAAAGATTGCATATATAAACAGAAGCTCATCCATAATTTATAGTATATAAAACAGCTAGGGATATAGGGAAAAGGAGGATTTCATTAAATACACATTATGATGCATCTCAGGGGAAGCAGAAGTATACTGGTTAAGCTAATTTTAAGGTCCAAAGTGTATTGAAAGTTGTTTATTTTTTCTTCCTTTTTTTTTTCCGCCATTTGATTTGTTTTAAAGAAAAGGAAGTTTCCACAAACTTGAGGTTTAGCACTGCTTTGGAAATCTCCAGAGGTTTTGCAGGTGCCCTGTACCTTTTAAGGTTTCTCACAAACAAAAGTGCTTGAAGGAAACCTTTTTGAGGAGGAATTCTGTTTAGCAGTCATGCAGCATAGTGGGAGAGGGATTTCAGATTTATGAGGCATAGCACTGTAGATACCAGCTGACATCAGTTCCTACCTGTCAATGACTGCATCAGAAACATCATATTTATGTCTAATAAATAAATGTGTCATGTCAGAGGGAAGATGGAGCTTTTAACTTTTATACAGGAGCTGGCATCAGAAGGTTGCATGGCATGTATTCCTGGGACCTACTTCCAGTGAGGCAGGTGTGCATTTATCCAGAAGTTCATCAGCTGGATCCCAATGGGTTATTTGCTGTATTGTTTCCTTTGAAAGAAGCCAACTGCAGTGCCATCATCTTTGCACAGAATGGGAAAGAATAGTGCATTTTGAGATAGAAAAGCATTTGGTGTTCTAAAAATAATGTGTTGTTTTCATTAATATTTATTATTTGAAGATCCAGCTTTCTCTAAATACTTTCCAGGTTACAGATGATACTGGCATCTGCTGACTCCACAGGTGACACTGTGACATTGTAATCTCGGTGGAAAAACAATCTGGATTTCAGATTAAGAAGGCTCTGTCCATGGTAATCTGGTTGATTTCCCTCCTTCCAATCCTGCAGAAGGATAGGATGCAACTAGTCTCTGATTCTGACTCAGCAACTAGTGCCAGATTTCAAGGCTCAGGTGGCTAAATAATCAGTGCAAGGCTAAACACTACAGCATTGTTGTCTTTTAAAGTTGTCTGTGTAGTTTGAGTTTGTAATTCTTCTTGAGATGTGTCTCTAGCATAACATTACTGATTTTTGGTTTCACAGTACTATCCATCCAATGACAAACTTCCAAGACAGTTTTGGATGCTAGCTACATGACCGAGCCCATGCAGGCCTACATTCAGCTGCATTGCACTTACTGTCAGCCAGCCAAGATAGTTTTTAAGGCATGCAAGGGAATAGGAGAAAGGACAGAGAAGGGTGGTAATTGTATAATGTAATTTTCCAAATAATTAAGCTCATATGTTGTTCTTTCAGCTTCATTTTGTTTTAAAGATGCTATCATAATACATTCCTGGGTTTCGCAGAATTTTCAGGTCTAACTTAAAACCTGTGATGCTCAGAGCTGGGCTGCCTGACAAACCTTACTTTGTTTTTAAATTAAATCAGGGTGTATATTGCCAGAGGAAGAAGTAAATAAACACAGAACACTTCAGGCTTCCTCTGGTGTTGAGTA